GAAATCCACAATACCAAAATGTGGCAAGGACAATGTAAAAAAAATTAAGTTACATACGTGTGTTATCTTGTACACATAATACATCTTTAAATATGAGCAAGCTGAATTCAGTAATAACCGAATAATAACGGGGTAACACACCATGACCAAGTCAAGTGGGGTTTATCTCAGGATTGCAAGCTTGGTCAAACCATCGAAAATCAATGTGATTCACATAAGCAGAATAAAAGATAAACATGATCACCCAAATAGATGCAGAAAGACCACTTGACAAAATTGCACACCCACTCCCAGGGGTGTGAACCTGGGTGAGTGCCTCGGGGCTCCCCGCTCCCCTCCGCCCTGCCACCTGCCAATGGGGGCTGAGCATGCAGTATGGTTTCAGCAAGATTAAATACTTCAAACAAGAAAAAAAAAATCTATTCCTCAGAGAAACATAACAGATTACAAAGTATCTACAGCGTACCATTTGTGATGCCTAGGGCGCAACTGAAAAGTGCTGGATGCACAAGACATATGAACGGGACTCCTACTCAGAATAAAAGAAAAACATATCAACATCTGCACTACAAATTGTACAAGGATGTAAGAAAAAAGGCTCAAATGAGCAAATAAGGTTTGCTAAGAATCAGAAACTAATTTTAGAACAGACGAATACATCTGAAATAAAAAAACATGGTTACAGGCTTTAAAGCAGAATGGGCAGTGATAGGTCATTAGTTGTGAGAGTCAATGATAGATAACAATTACCCTATTAAAAAAAAAAAGGAAGAACTACTTTAAAAATATATGAACAGGCCTAATGACCAGCGAGTGAGACAACAGAAGAGGTGTTACAGATGTGTACCTGATTCCCAAAAGGAGAGACACCAATAGCAGAATTATGTGAGGAAATAATGGCTGAAATTTTCACAAATTTGATGAAAGCCATAATTTTACAGATTCAAGAAGTTCAACAGGCCCCATGCATGATAAATATAAAAACCACATTGTAGTAATACCCATTTCCCAAGTTGTAAAATAGTTACCATTTTGAAACCAAACAGAACACAGGAAGGACACAAGACTCAGAGCTTCTTCCCCTCCGAGCTGGACCGCGCACTGTCATTTACGAATAACCAAGTATGGACGTGAGCGCATTCACGTGCCACCGTATGAAGAGATGATGGGGAGAAAATACTGATTAAATCCTGACACACTCTGTCCCGCAGCACTTGAGAATCATTGTCCGTTTTTCTTTTTAAGATTTTATTTATTTATTCATGAGAGACAAAGAGAGAGAGAGAGAGAGAGAGGCAGAGGGAGAAGCAGGCTCCCGCTGAGCAGGGAGCCCGATGCGGGACTCGATCCCAGGACCCTGGGATCATGACCTGAGCCGAATGCCACCAAAATGCTTTTATTTTAGGCTATTATTCCAGATACTTTAAAGCCCATTTGGAAGAAAAAATCCTTCGTATTAGCAAAGCCACATAACCAGAACTTTGTTCTTCATTAAGTAGTATTCCAAGTCAGTGGATCAATTGATAAATGGCATTACAATAGGCCAACTGCATAGTTTTTCTTCCAAACAGGAACACTTTGAAGAGTGCTAAAATGCTAAGCCACAGGACACCAGGACAGGGGCGTCAGCCAGGATGCTGAGGCACACCAGGATCAGGGCTGCCTGAGGTGTGAGCAGTGCCTGAGTCTGTGCTGCAGGAAGGCAAGACCCTCGCCTTGTTACACGCTTGGGAATCACTTTCAACAAGTGAGCTGTGAAAACAAAGCCCATGAACAGTGCCCAACGAAACGTGCTGCTCTTTGTAATCATGAGCCAATACCAGAAACAATAAACATTCAAGATACAGACACAGCTGAGCAGAAACCCTCGAACTGAAATAAACACCGAATAGAAAAAAGGACAGGGGGTAATTATTGAAAAAGTCCTTACAAACAAAGCAGACAAAACACCAACAGAGAAACAGGGAAAGACCTGAATAAGCCGTTGACAGGCTAAATGCAGATGGCCAGCAAAGGTGTTCCAAAATGTTCCACCGGCCGAGACTGGAGACCTTTTTTCTCCATTGAAGATTACAGCGCCTGTGCTTGGAACCCAGTCCTGGTGAAGCTGTGAGGAGGCCAATGCTGGGCAGAGACACTGACAGAATCACACCAGGGAGGGTGGCAGATGTATCTGACAGGTGTGCAGATGTGTGCACGAGGGTTACTGTTTCCTAAAGGTTTATAATAGCAAAAAATACAAGTTAGTATCTTTGGGCAACTGAGATATGTCCCGACATGTTCATGAGTTTTAAAAAGTTGAACAGTCACTATAATGCTGCTGAAAATGAACCACCTCATCCCAGAAGGCAGAGGCTTTCCAGGAGTGGCCTTCTCCGGAAGTGGCAGCTCAGGGCAGTTCTGCTTCCGACTTTTTTCTCATCTGTTCTTTCCTACTTTACGACTTTGTGAACTTTGTAAGCATTCTCTGATCCATTTCGAGGATCAAAAATCTCAGTACAAGTTCCCCAAGTGTTGTCGTCGATCCAATGCCTGTTACAGAAAGAACGGAAGGGAGGTCAGGGGCCCATCTCACGAAACCATCTCTGGTATCTAGAAGCTTGGTGAGGAAGTCCAGCCGCAGGAGCCACGGAGGGCCGGTGACGTCTGGTGGCAGAGCGGGGAGTGGGCTCCTGGTACTCCGGTATCACCTGCAGGCCCAGAGGGGCGAAGGGCTCCTGAGAGGGATGCACCCTAACGGGACAGCTGAACTTGGAGGGTGAGGAGGCTTCAGGGTGCTGAGGCGACTGTCTCCCCATGGCGTGGAAGGAAGGGCAGGTATGGAGGGCTGGGGACGCCTCCCCGTCTGTCAGAGAACTGACAGCACAGCCCAGTGAGCAGTGCCATCCCAGGCAGTAACTCCACGTTGACACTGACACCTGGTGCCCAGCCCAGCTGCCGAGTGGGGGCCCCTGGAGGGAGAACTTGTGTGTCTGCGTCCCCCTGATGCCCATGCTCAGGGCCCACAGGACTCAGCCATGAGAGGGGACGGAGATGGCGGTCCTGGCTTCCAGGAACCCCCTCTCAGAGCTTCGAATCAACGGTGTTTGGCTCTGCTCTACACGAGCCCTCAGAAGGTTGGCCGGATAGTGCACCCATGCCGGGGACACGGCTCCCCCCGCCACCTCCCTAGAGGGGAGAATCGAGATCACAGGCACGGGCCTGGCTGGGTGCACGGTGTCTGATTGCCTCAGCCTTCCAGGCCCTTGACTCGCTGCACCAGATGGCGAGTGGGGCCTTCTCCATCCCAAGGGGGAAACTCCAGGGCACACACCAGAGCCCCTTGCAGGACCACGTGGCTCTGCAGCTGCCAAGTCCAGTGCCCCTGGGCAAGGGCTCCCACCCTCCATGTTTTGTCACTTTACGGCGGAGGCGAGGTCGCACCCGGCGCGGCGGAGCCAGGACCATGCTCTCACCCTGGACTCTAACAGGGCATGCCGGAACACTGCTGGGTTTCCGGGTACCCTCTCTCTGCGCCTTCCCCGCCAGCCCTACCAGCAGTCTCCGCGCGTGGCGGCAGCCGTGCTTTCTTACACAACTTCTCTCCTGGTTTGATGTAGAGCTGGATACACTAAAGGGACTGTATTTGGGGAAAACAAACTAGTAATGGTACGAATGTGAAGGGTCCCCCCAGGCCCCCATGCACGGTTAGGGCTCACATGTTAGATAAGTCACCACAACACTGGCCAGGCACGGGGCAGGACACAGGCGCCACCACGCCAGCACAGCGTGCCCAAAGGAGAGACACAGCGCTAGCGAACCGCACGCCCTTCAGCCCTGCTCGCAGGCGGACGCCAACCCCGGGCCCCCGCCCCCACACAGGCAGCCCAAAGTCTGGCAGATTCCAAAACTAGGGTTTGGTTTTGTAACACACAATTCTTTTCCCTTGACGGATACAGAGTACAACAAAATTAGTCACTTTTATTTAAAAGAAACATTACAAATAAGTGCAAAATTAAATTTCATGATTAAATACACACAAAAGTAACATGCATACTTTACACTGAAATCCACATACAAAGTTAGTTGATTACATGACAGTGAGAGAGAACTGGCAGAACCGGGAGCTGCCGCCGCAGACTTTCAATGTTTACAACCTGAAATCAAAACCATACAATTAGGCTTCTGTAAAGGGAATTTAAGAAAACTGAATACGTACCTCTGGGAGTACTAACAACATAGAGCCCATAACCTGTTTTAGTCACCGATGCTAGAAAACGTTATCATGTGCCTTCCCTTCTCAGAATGCTAGTGAGAGCGGCTCTGAGCAACGACGGGGCACGGTGGGCTGAGGCTTCCTGCTCCGGCCCGGACGTCGGGCCCGGCCGCTGCGGTGCCCAACCCTTCCCTCCACATCCTCTAAATTAGGTGACCGTCTCCGTGTTACTCTGCTCCCTACACACGACGGGGAAACTGAGGAGACCCATGGGGCACACGAAGCGCTCTGCTCGCCGCAGGTGATGCCAACAGCTCCGACAGACAGACGGGGACGGCTGCGCCACAGACCCAGGGAGACCAGGACGCCGGCTCGCAGGGAGATGCCCACGCTGGGCTCTCTGACACGGCTGTCTCTTCGCGTCATGTTCAGAGGGGAGAAGGAATTCCTTTCTCCTTTTCTAAGGCAAGCTGCTGGTATTCTTGTTCTATTTAAAAATCTGGTGTAATGTAAGAACTCACATTGACACATTTGTTCATTTCCCCATTACAGACTCAGTAAAAATGATGGAATCTATTGCCAAAACAAATTTCAATTTGTCCACCCTTTTGTCAACCCAGTCCCTACGTGTGCACGGGGGGGGGGGGCGCAGGTGGGAGGGCAGAAGCTAGCGTCAAAGCTGAACTAAAGGTTGCGGGCCAGCAGTCGGGCCCGGGTGGCTCAGAGCCACTGAGCGTCTACACTGCCTTGATGATGATTTGTCCTTTAATACTGGAAATGGGAAGCCCTGCTCAAGAAAACAGACAACCATAGAATGGCTTCAGGACCAAGGTCCCTGGGCAGTCCTCCAGCCGCTGACCCACGAGGCCCAAGGGCACCGGCACCCGCCCCAGGAGTCTGAAGGGCACACGCAGCGCTTCGGGGGTGGCCGGCTGTGGGTGCTGGTTGCACTCCCAGTGGAGTCACAGCTTGTCATCGGTCATTTCTAGAAACTGTGCGTAGACATCCCGGATGCACTCCCCCTTGGGGTTGAATAGGAATTTGTAGTAGCTGCCGTCTGCACAAATCGCTGAGACAGAAGGAGACCATTTTACTCACGTTGTTTCTCCCCTCAACGTTAACAGCAAGCAGACCTCACTGAGCTGAACTGTAAATGGCCTCACTCTGGGCAGCGACCCAGAGTGAACATGGGTGACAAGGGACCGCCCCCCACTCCTAACTGAGTGCACGCATGGCCAGGAACCCCGACTGCTCTGGGGTGGCGCATGTATTCAACTTATGTGTGGAGGAGAAAAACCCTGTCTGGTCACCAGTTCGAAAACCAAATGACATGCCCCCACAACTTCCTGGGAAACCCCGGAGGGCAGGGGGCTGACGTCACCCCACATGGCTGTGCGGACCCCCGAGTGGATCCCATGGGCCGCCAGCTCAAGGACCACTTACCAATGACGGCATTTGGCTCTGTTCCAAAGGCACAGATGCACGGAGAGCCTGAGGGAACCTGAAACTTGGAAAAACTCCACTTGGAACTGAAGTACTTTGGAAGAAAACTAGCTGAGGCCAGACTGGGGGGGGGAGGGGGGGAGAAAAGGCAGTTACGTCTCCATAACAAAGGTGAAATAACAGCTCTTTCATTTGGCCTGACCCCAGATACTTCAAATTCTGTATTTCCTTTTAATTTTATTTCTCACATGAAAAAAACAAAGTGCTTAAAATGGCTTTATGGTAACCCCAGAAACCACCAGCACCAGAAGAGGCACAGGTTTCTACTGTGACTAAATTATTTTGCTAAACACGGCAAACATGAGGACAGGCACTGGGGTTCAGGTCCGAGTCCTAAATCACAGGAAAGGTGACTGGATCCTAATCAGACTCTGTCTAAGGAGCTAAAGACGAGGCCAATAATGATGCCCGTTTTCGCATCAGATCTGTGGACCCTTGAGCAATGAACAGGTGAGGGACACCAACCCCCTGCAGTCGAAATTCCGTGTATAACTACTCACTCCCCAAAAATTTAACTCAGGGCCTACTGTTAATAACAAATGGTCAATTCACACCTATTCTGTACATTTTATGTACCACACATCCCATATTCTTACAAGAAAGCTAGAGAAAAGAAAACTCTAAGGAAGAGAAAAATATATTCACGGCATTACAATGTACCATGTGTCCGTGGCCCGTGGATGTCACTCCTGTGTCGTGTGAGGGTCAGCCGTGCCTTGTCACACAATCCAATGAGTGATTGTGACTTTACACCGAATGTGCCTGAAGGAGGGGCTTAGTCCTCTTAACGCTGGGAAACCTACCTAGACTGTTTATTCCTTTTTGGATCTTCGGCAGCAAAAATGTGCACTGTGCCGTGGTCACTGGACACGCAGATGAGGGAAGCGTCCGGATTGAAGTTAATGCTGCAGAGAAATCAGATGAAGCTCTGGTCTCCTATGGATGCAGAGGAGCCCGGCCCCCAATAGTAGCACCACGCCATGTGAGCTGCCGCCTCAAACCCTGGCCTTCTCGAATTCCAGACAGCAATTGTTAGCACCACCACCCTCCATTAATCAGCCTGCAGTGCTCTCCATGGAACCTGAGGGTCCACACTGGGGAACAACCCAGCGTGCCACAGCAGGGCCCCTCCCTGGGTACACTGATAAGGCTGGGTACCAGGGAGGGGAAGGGACTTCCTGTGGCCCCACCCTGAAGCTCTGGGGGCCCTGAGGCCACCTCTACATGCCAGTCAGGTGATAAAACTCCTCCCCTCCAATGCCCCTGGCCCCTGGAGGTGCAGGCTGCCCTTTGGAGGTGGGCATCACTGGGGCTGGGCAGGCCCCCACTCTGGCTGGAGGGGCCCTGAGAGTAGACAGAGGACAGCCCCCACAGGGCTCCACAAGCACATTCACTGAACGCATGTTAATTACATGTTTATCACACAGACCCAAATGCTGCTTGGCACCTAGAAAGGCCACAGATGCCAAGAATGAAACCCCGCCCAAGCAGGGGGTCCACCACGGCAGGGCTACGGACCCCGAGTGATTACAGATGAGCTAACAAGGTCTCTGGTGTTTGCCTTAAAATACCACAGAAAAATCAGCTGGAGGAACAGTGGAGAAGAAATAAAACTGGCAAGTACTGACAAACATGGAGGCAGGGTCAATGGTAGTTAATTACATTCTCTTTAACTTTTGTACGTGTTCCCATAATAACGATCTAAAGTTAGTCATAATAAAACAAGCTGACACCTGACTCTCTACAGCTGGTAGGGGCCCTGATTCTCCCTCAGTCACACAAGCCCCGTTTGACTCAGTCACTCGGGGCACATGGCGGGGGTGCTTCTTACCAATAAATATTGGCTGCTTGAGATCCTCTTCGTAGTTCCTGGATTAAATGCCCTGATGAAGTATCAAATATTCTTATAAGGGTCCCCTTTGAAAAACAGTGAAGTGTTTTATTATCATTCACAACTTTTTAGTTTTTTGAAATGAATATTATACTCACAAACCCATCAGTCCATACAGCCCCTTCCCAACTCACCCACATCATCTAAAACTCAACTTTTCCCTCCATTGTACCCGAGAGTTAAGGTGATGGCTCTCTGGCCCAACAGCACTGGGTAGGAGCCAAACCCCTGGGTGCCAGCCCTCCACTAACCCCCTGCACCTACTGCCGCAGCAGATGCCTGAGAGAACCCGCAGCCTGTATGGATGTGTTCCTGGGGGGCTGTCAGTTCTCTGTCTAGAGCAATGACATCTTCATTGTAACTCCCATGGCCGGTCAGAAAAAAGCACAGTGATTCTATTCTGCTGCCAAAAAGATGAGGCTTCGCCAAGTAAAATGACTTTTCCACGGTCTATGTCAACTATGACGTGATTACCAAGAGAAGGTGGCCAAGAACCCGCGAGGAGTCAAAACCCACAGGGAAGGGCTGGTTTTCCGCGGGGCCCGCACGCTGAGTCCTCGGGAGTGCAAGGGCCCTTGCGAGGGCGGCCGGGGCAGGTGTGCAGCTGTCACGGGAGGACACGCACTTACTTTCTCAGATGCGGTTGCAATTCTTGTTCCCTGCAGGTTGAGAGCAATGCAGCTCAGGACGCCCTCGTGGGCTGGAATGTCCACGGGCGGCTTCTCGGTGCTGGCCAGGTCCACGAGCTGCACGTGGCCTGTGTGTGTGCCCGGGAAGGCCAGGAGGGAGTTGTTACTGTTGGGGCACAGGACGCAGAGGCCTGATCGGAGATGGAGAGAACCCATCAAGCACTCACGACTGTCTAAAGGCCTCTGCCCTACCCAAACAAAACCTATTCTCTGTCCTCTAGCTCACGAGAAAAAAAATAACTTACTCATGTGTTTTCATTTTTTCTTTTTTAAGATTTTATTTCTTTATCTTAGAGACAGAGAGGGAGAGAGCGTGCAGGGTGGGGGGCAGAGGGAGAGGGACTCCATGCTGAGCCCAAAGCCCAACGGGGGCTCGATCCCATGAGTCTGAGATCACGACCTGAGCCGAAACCAAGAGCTGGATGCTGAACTAATTGAGCCACCCAGGTGCCCCTAGAGTTTTCATTTATATCAGAATCACAACATCTTTTCATTGTAAAAGGTATTAGAAGGCCAGACAAGCCTAAGTCCTGGGAGACTGAGCCTGCCTCATAATTGGAAACATCCACTGTCACATATCTGCCTTTGATGGTGCCAGCCACTGAGAATACAAAATTGTGAAATACAAACACTCCATTAACAACTGCACAAAACCCCAAATACTTAGGAATAAATTTGACAGTGCCTGCATAAGACACTGGACCACAGTGTAGAAGGAAACCAAAGTTCTGATGGATGGAGAGCTGATCTGAGCTGACCTACTGTGGTCACAGCTGGAGTGTACTTTGCCTGCAGGTCAGTGCGGTCACGATCCAAGTCTTTCTGCAGGCTTTATGAAACAGCAGACAAGCTGACACTAGACATCCTAAGGAAAGGCAAGGTCCTAGAATAGCCAAAAATTTTTTGTAAAATAAGAACATTAGAGAACTTACACTACCTAATTTTAAGAATTATTTTAAAGCTCTTGATACCAAAGCAGTATGGTATTGATATAAGGACCTATCACTGGAACAGAAGAGTACAGAAAAATCTTACACTTACTTGATTTAAAAAAAAAAAGTACCAAGATAATTCATTGCAGAAAAAGTCAGATATTCATAAAAAAAAAAAATACAAATCTGGGCCTTTGTCTCATGCCATACACAAAAAAATAGATTAAAGACCTAACTTAAGATCTAAAGCTTCTAGAAGAACACATAAAAGAAAATCTTTGTTTTGCAAAAAACCACAGACCAACTGAAAATATCTGCAAAAGTGATAGACAAAGGGCCTTATCTAGAATATACAAAGAGGGTGCCTGGGTGGCTCAGTTGGTTAAGCAACTGCCTTCGGCTCAGGTCATGATCCCGGAGTCCTGGGATCGAGTCCCGCATCAGCGGGGAGCCTGCTTCTCCCTCTGACCTTCTCCCCTCTCATGCTGTTTCTCTCTCTCTCTCTCTCAAATAAATAAATAAAATCTTTAAAAAAAAAAATAGAATATACAAAGAATTCTTACAAGTCAGTGAGAAGATAAAGTTAAAACAGGAAAAGACGTGAAAACACCTCATAAAAGATGTTTGAATGGCAACAAGCACATGACAAGATGCTCAACACCGCCAGTCCTCAGAGAAATGCAAACGAAACCCCAGGGACATACTAGTTCCAAGGCAACGCCCCACGTTCAGAAGAGTGACAATACCAAGTGCTGGGGCAGGGATGTGCTGCCATCCAGCCCTCCTAGGTCACCCACTGATGGGGGTGCAAGAAGACACCACCAGTTTGGAAAACATTTGTGAGTATTTTATAGACGTGGATACATCACGACAATATGATCCAGCAGATGTGCTCCTCAGTATTCACCCAAGAGAAATAAAACAATTCCTCCAGGCAAAGATGTGTCTGTGAACATTCGCAGCAGCTTCTGTTCATAACAGTCCAAACACCGGAGTGCATAAACAATTTGGTATATCCATACTATACAGTATTACTTAGCAATAAAAACGAGAAAAGAATATATACATAACACATGGAGGAACCTAAGAAATATTAAGCTAAGAGACCGCAAAACTTGAAGGCCAGGTGGGGAAAGGGGCCACCTGGAACTCTTTTCCACTGTGGGGGTAGTTTCACGGCTGTTTACAATGACTAAATATATCGAACGATATAGTTAAAATGAGTGAGTTTTATGTATATTACAGCTCAATAAAGCTAGAAGAAAAACCCTAAAAATTTTTAAAAGAAATTAAGATGCTATAATGAGGACAAAGTCACATGCGATCCTTGCTCCAAAGAAAAAGAGAATGAAACCCCTCAGAACTCAGTGAAAACACACACAAGGTCGCCCAAGGAGCTCCTGAACGGCTGACGACGACAGGGGGAAAGTTCCCTCATTCCGCCCCCCCCACCACCCGGGGTGGGGTGGGGGTCTCAGCCACTCCCTGGCAGACCAGGTGCTGGCGTGAGCAACGCGGCCCAGAGAGCTTGCCCCGGAGCAGGTGGAGAGCAGCCAGGGAAGAGGGCACAGGAGGAAGAACAAGAAGGCCGTCTCCATCAGAGTGCCCCCAGGGAGTCTCAGGACCCATCTGACCACGGCAGCGCCACTCAGACAGAGACCTGCCGCAGAGGAGGGCAGCCGGCACTGGTCTCCACCTGGACGGAACGTCAAAGAGCCAACTTCCATCGTTACTCCTCTGCAGCTTACCTTTAGGGTTATAGCAGGTTTCAAAGACATGCAACTGATGGGGATTATGTGTGAACGTAAACACCTTAATCATTGAGTCCAAAACAACCACAATTCTGCAAAGAAAAAAACACAATCAGAACTCCTATTCCCAAAAGCAAAACTCAAGCATTTTGTGATTTTTGTTCTTATTATTTTGAAACTTAGAAACAGTCCAAACAGCACAGGCAGAAGGATCATTCTTGAATCAGAGCCCCACAAAGGCAAGGTCTCTGGAGGTCACCCATGAGCCCCTGGGGGTGTGGCAGGCACTGATGGACAAGCAACTCTCACCTGCACACCTGGGTACAGGCTGACTAATGGACCTTCCTGGGGTTTAAGAACATTTTCAACAAATATTTCATCTAGAGTAAGAACCGAGTACATGGAGCAGAAAATAAAGAAATTTTCTTTATATACCACTTTTAGGTATGTCTGGATAATTTAGAAATGTTGGAAACTGGAAAGTCCTTGGATCTGGCTCCAGGATTTGATTAGGGGCCCCTAAACAATCAACATTGCCGGAAGTCACAAACCTAAGAATGCAGGTATGACAGTCCCCTATTCACACCCACCTTGTTCAGCATCTTTGCCCCTTCCACAGCTGAGTATAAGATGTAAATCACACCAAATTAAAATCCAAATTAACAAAACTCTATCCTGCTGAACGTACTAGTAAAAACTTCTGTTCTCCTAAACACCATGCTAGCAACGGCCGAGAGAAGCCTGCTACTTTCAAGAGGTAACAGCAATGCCACCTTCTCACTAAGGAGTCTCCATATCTTCCTTCATCTTCCAGCTGGTAACATTTACTGAGGCAGCGCGTGGCAAAGCGGGACTGAGAGTGAGGAAGGCTCACCCCTCGTGTCCTCAGCGGGAACCTGCTGGATGGGGACCATCCTCTGAAGGACTGAGGACCACCGGGCGCTGCTGCCAGGCATATCCACTGACGAACTGCTGCTAAACGATCCATGAAAGCCCATAAAACTCACGCCTTCTTTGCAGCAATACAGAGAATCCCATGTCCTTTGGGTCATAAACTACAATCATCACATCTGAAGACATGATTTTCCCAAACATGTTTCTTCCTTCAATATGAAAGTATTTCAGCCGTCTTCAGAGAAACTTAGACAGCAAACCTACCGATCTCGCCGCAGCTTGACTGCTTTGACTTCTGTAGAAAATTCTATTTCAATAACAGTCTTCTTCTTCAGGTCATCCCAGATCATCACTGAAATTTCAGAGAGAGCTTATGGGCACAACAGTACACAGCCTGTGGGGCCTCGTAAAAGGGTCCTGGCCAGGGGGGCTATTGCTCTCCCACTGGGCTATTGCTCTCCCACTGCCCAGTCTCAGACCCAAGGGACACGTCCAGCCCACCACTCGCAACGCTGTCTCTGAGAGCAGAGCCCTCCCCTGCTCCCTCCCCACTCTTCCCTTCCAGTACCCCAGCCCAGTCTCCCCCTACCACACACGCACGCACGCACACCCCCTTTCTGCCATCCTTGCCTAGTTGTCAGGCAAACTTCTCCCCACCCCTCTTTCCTTGGTCTCACCTGCCTGAGCCAAATGCAAGCCTAACCACAACTACTGCTGGAGTGTTAGAGACACACCTGGATCAAGAAAAGAGAGGCTTCAGTTTTAATGGATTAAAAAACCAGGGCTAGGGATTACTCTCAGCCCCGGCCCGACTGTTGTTGCTCTTCTTCGGTCTCACTTTGCTGCTCACACTGCAGTACTTTGTGAAGCATTAATAGTCTGCATCCCAGGGGCTGAGAAAATTGACAGATAACCTCTGAGGATGAGGGGACAGCGAGCAGCACTGAGCTGGGGAGAGGCGTGGGGGCGTGTGGTATCCAAATATTTTCTATCTTCTGCATCTTTCTCTTACAAAGCTGTCTAGGAAGAGTGTGAGGTGAGGGAAAATAAGCTTCCTCAGCAGGTCATGGGCCAGGTGACCAAGGATGGAAGGCAATGAACGTCTCCCCTAAAAGTCCTGACACCATGACCACCACGAGTCCTGGAGGTGAGATTTAGGGGTAAGTTTTGCCAGAATGGACTCAGTGACCTCAACTTCAAATCAAAAGATAACAACACCTAAGAGAACTACCAAACTTTTACTTTTATAAAATTATTTACTATCGAAGACATTAAAATTTATAACCATTCAAAAATGAAGCAGAGAATTCTGTTGTTATGCCTTTAAAATGCCATCTGTTTGATAAATCTCTTCATTCCCAAGTCCCCAAAGCGGTCTAGCATGTTGGTAAGTGCGACAGAACCTCAGTCCACAGTCACCTCACTGAAATAATAACCTTCTGGGCAAAGGACACGTACACTCTTGAACTTGTAAAGCAGTTCAAAAGTAAACTTTCTCTGGCTCTGCAACCTAACACCAAAAAATCTGCAATTCAAAACAAATGTAAACTGGCCCAATCCAGACAGAATCCCAAAGATGAGCCACGTCAAGGGTGTCACAAATCCAAGTGAACTCTATTTTCAGAAATTTCTGGAAACAGCCTGGTGGAGCCCCAGAGCCAGCAGCTCGAACTCTCACTCACAAAAGCAAAGTGACCAGACACAATGCCCCGGACAGAGAGAAAAATCCACGGACCTGGGGTGACCTTCAGCTCCCTGTGATCTCCATGGGCTGCGAGCCACTGTCCTGGTGTGCTGGAAATTCTACATGTATACCCAGGATTTGGCATGTTTGTCTTTTAATACAGTTCCTGATAGCAAAAGATACATTCACTAATTCTGGAATTCTCCTTCTTTTGTCCTGACTCAGTAAGAAAAGGCCTTTTGGCTCTGCCTGAACAGCTTGTGCAGCCTCGGCTGGGACCTGCCTTGTCGCACTGGGATGACCAGTCTCCTCCAATCTCATTTTACTGGTTTTCACAAACCGAAGACACTAGCTTTTTCACATTTCAACACTGTGTATCTTAATTTATAACTATTAAAATATTAAGAGTAAATTCAAGCAGCAATTTTGACATTACTGAAAAGCCACAGTGCTACAGGAGGGGCCAGCCTCTGGACTCTCTTTCCTCTTCAGTGATCAGTAACATGCTTCAAGGCAAAGGGTAACCCAGCAGCAGGACGTGTGCCCGCCCCCAAGCAGCCCAGGGAAAGGAATTTTTTTTTTTTTTAAGATTCTATTTATTGGGCGCCTGAGTGGCTCAGTTGGTTAAGTGTCTGCCTTCAGCTCGGGTCATGGTCCCAGAGTCCTGGGATCGAGTCCCACATCGGGCTCCCTGCTCAGCGGAGAGTCTGCTTCTCCCTCTGACCCTCCCCCTCCTCATGCTCTCTCTCTCAAATAAATAAAAGATTTTATTTCTTTATTGGGGGGGGAGCATGAGTGAGGGGAGTGGCAGAGGGAGACGGAGCAGAGGGAGAAGCAGACTCCCCGCTGAGCAGGGAGCCCCACATGGGGCTTGATCCCAGGACCCTGAGATCATGACCTGAGCCGAAGGCCGACGCTTGACTGAGCCACCCAGGTGCCCCAGGAAAGGAATTCTAAGTAGGCTCCATGCCCAGCATGGAACCCAGTGTGGGTCTCGAACCCACAACTCTGAGATCAAGACTCAGATGCCCAACCAACTGAGCCCCACTCCCCAGGTGCCCCCATCCCTGCACTCTGAGCATGGTGGCCTCTATGTCGCTTCTGGATGGCCTCTTTCAGAACTTATAAGCCACAGGCTCTGCTCGCCCGGGCTATGCCAGCAACGATCCAGACAGCAACCCAGGCTTTCTGCCCTTTAGCCCTGGTCGTGACAAGCTGGAGGGGTCCAGCTGCCCACACCACTGCGGGCAGTTCCGCTCCCCATCCCCACTCACACTGTCCACCAAGCTCCTCTGAGAGCTGCAAGCCGGGGCCCCAGAGCCTGCCAAGGATCATCCAGGGCTCTGCACCTTTCTGTGCTCACCTGACTCCCCTCTTTCTTTGCCCCCATATCAGGCCTGGGCTACTCCCTGCCACAGGGTCTCAAGCAGACCTCCAGCTCAGCCGCACACACAAAGGCACCTCCTGGAACCTTCCCTTCCTGCCCAACCTGGAAAGAGAGCTATCCACCTCCTCCCCACTCACTCAGGAACCTATCACCAGTGGGTCCCAACCCCACAGTCCTCCAGGGCCGCCAGGCTCACCAGCACTTGACTCAGACAATCCCACTTACTTCTCTCTCCCTACCCCTCCCTGTGAACAACGGCACCCATCTCTGCCATCTCCGGTCTCACACACTGCTTCTAGACTAGAACACTCCTAAGCTAGGACAGCATTGCTTTCCTGATCACACCCTCACCTGGTATTCAAAGTCCCTGGATCTGTCCTCACCCGTCTCCGCAATCCACCTGCCACCTCTTCCGGTGTTCTACCCTGCTTTCACAGATACCTGGGTTTACAGGTTATGAAGTGTATACACACTGTGGTTGGTAAAGTTTTTGTTTCTCCCTTACTTTAAAAGCCAGACGTTTTACACCACAATCTCTCTGAACACAGACTTATACACACATACCAAAAATAATATTCTTAAACCTAGAGCCGACATGGTTTTTTCTTCTATGTGGCAACCAAATCAACGTTTCTGTGAGTCAATGGCTCTTTGTAGAAAAATAACCTTCCTATACCTTGCTTTAAAATGAACACATAACATTTATGATACCAACCCACAGTTGAATACTCAGAAGAAAATGGGGTCCAGAGGCATGGCACGCCCCGTTTAGCCAACATTAATTGAAAAGCACGTGCTTTATGTTGATGGGAACAGGTGACCCTTGCCGCACACTTTTTCTCCTGGGAACAGCAGGGACAAGATGTCAGTGACTGGTCCTTCATACTCCACAGGGCCACCAGGGAAGAGCAAATGTAGCCGCAAACACCAAGACACTCTAGAAAGTTCCAGACATTATAATATGGAAGGCATGATCATTAAGCCCACCACCACTTTACCTTTGTTGGGGGGGTATTTCGGCTTTTTCCCACCACCGACTAAAGCTAAATAGTTGCAGCGAAATAACATTTCAACATGGCCAACTCCTCCTTCCAGAAATTCTGAAATGATATTGAAAAAAAGTTAGTATGTATGTTTTGCAATTTAAATACAGAAAAAAAGGGAAAGGTAACACTCAGCATTTGACTTTTATCAGCGATCTATACCTGACTACCATCAGCAATGAGACTGCCAGCTGGCTAGGATAGAGAAAGAGCCGTGGGCTTTGGACTTCCCTCAGCCGCCCGTCCTCATGAGCTGTGTTCCCAGGTATAAATGCTGAACACCCAGCACCCTAAGAAGCCAACGTACCAAAATGTATGAAAACTCCTATTTTAAGGGGTAGCAAAATCACCAAGCTCTAAGAAAGCATGCTAAACGCTTTAATGTAAAAGCAGAGTTCATCACTTTAAATACCTCTTCCACTGGCTTGAAATGCTCAAAAATGTTGGTCAATTACGTTAAGCACCTGGGTGGCTCAGCTGGTGAAGGATCTGCCTTCGGCTCAGGTCATGATCCCAGGGTCCTGGGATTGAGCCCCTACATAGGGCTCCCTGCTCAGCGGGGAGCCTGCTTCTCCCTCTGCTTCTCTCTCTGCCCCTCCCCTGCTTGTGCTCTCCCTCACTCTCAAATCTAAAAAAGAAGTCACACATGGATTTTCAACTGCGGGGGTGGGGGGGGTGGGCGTGTGTGTGTGCACGCTCCGTTCAGGGTCAAGAGCAATATATTTATACAAGCATCTGGGGTCTTCCAATTTTTTTCTTTCAGATAAAATCCCTTAGGGCGCCTGGGTGGCTCAGTCGTTAAGCATCTGCCTTCGGCTCAGGTCATGATCCCACGGTCCTGGGATCGAGTCCCTCCCCTCATCGGGCTCCCTGCTCGGCGGGAAGCCTGCTTCTCCCTCTGACCCTCTCCCCTGCTTGTGTTCCTGCTCTCGCTGTCTCTCTCTGTCAAATAAATAAATAAAATCTTAAAAAAGAAAAAATTCACAGGGCACCTGGGTGGCTCAGTCGTTAAGCGTCTGCCTTCAGCTCAGGTCATGGTCCCAGGGTCCTGGGATCAACTCCCTCATCGGGCTCCCTGCTCGGTGGGAAGCCTACTTCTCCCTCTCCCACTCGCCCTGCTTGTGTTCCCTCTCTCGCTGTCTCTCTCTCTGTTGAAAAATAATAAAATCTTTAAAAAAAAAATGATAAAACCCATTAGGTATAATTGATGAATCAAACAGTATGTGTGTCTGCATAAAATGAACACATATTGCCAAATTACCCTATAAAAAGATTCTACCAACCTAAACTGTACCATTGAGGTTATGAAACAGGCCTTGAAATAGTCTGCTTCTCCACAGCGAAACCAAAGCTACATGCGAACGTGGTAACACCACCCCTCATGACAATCCGCTCACTCCCCTCCACCTCACATGCTTCCCATTTCTCTCTAGTCCCTTCATCTTGGACATGCTGGGGTGAGCACAGGAGCATGAAGCCTGTTACACAAAACAAGGATCAAGGCCCCCAACATACCATTATGTCAGGTAGGCTGCTGGACTGGGTAACATCAGGAATTGCGCATGACAGGTCACCTCTTTTTTTCCAGATACTTGGTGTGTCCCACGAAAGACCCCGCCTGTCTTATTCACGACTGTATCCCCAGCCCCAGCGCAGCACCAGACGCTGGAGGCACCGACCACTACCCAGTGGGCTCGGGGAACACACAGCCCTCACCTGCGCTCCACCTCAGTCACGTGCTGTTCTTTCTTGGTCTCTGGGTCCTCTCTACTTCCCCACATATGGCTGCCAATGTCACATGTGTGAGCACTGGTCATGTGGAGGGAAACATGGGTGACACGGAAGACAGGGGAACACCTGCGAACCCCTCTGCCCGCATTGCAGGCTGGGCTAGCTCACTGAGCAGGGGCTGTACAAGTTCTAATTACCTCTGCACCGCGGAAGAGTTTGTTTCTAAATGAAAAGGGAAATTAACTTTTTATGAGTATTCCTTGTTTCTATAATCACTGGATATCATATTTTATCTAAACGTATCATTCTTGAAACTTCTTCCTAGCACACGCTCAGATGTGAACCCAAGTCCTACATGTGGACCCCACAGGCTGCCATTGCAGGCAGTCCTCCCTGGAGCCTCACAGCTTTCTGGGAGTGGAGCAGAGCTGCATGCCCACTTCAGGTGTGAGTAAGATGGAGGACCCTCAACGCCTGGGAGGAAGTTGGGAGAACGCTGCCTGCAACGGCTCCCAGTCCTTGCCGGCAGTGGGCACACCTGGGAGAGGCAGCTCATGGCCAATCCCACCTACTCAGTGCCACAGTCACACTGGAGGTAACAGGGCCGACAGCCCAGATCTGGGGGTGACCACGGAAATGCAGGCACACTTCCTTCCTCCTCATTTAGGAAAGCAAACTGCCAAAATAAAATAGGAACAAGATCCAGCCTGTTTTCTGTCAAGTTATAAGTTGCCAGAAATTAACAGCAGACCAACCTACAAGTGCACAGGGGCGGAGTGCTTAAAATACACTATCAAAAAGCACAGCAGGGCCCCACCATGATCCTTTTCAAATTCACTCCAAGCTAAGCTTAGGGACAGACTGCCCCAGACCCAGTTAGGCTGAGCAGCAAGAGGAAACAATACTTGCTCTCAGCATGACAATGGCAAACCCTTCTGGAACTTAGACTTTTAAATGCTTCTTGTCTAACATATTTTTTTTTTTTAGATATTTATGAGAGAGAGCACGCGCGCGCACACAAGCAAGGAGGGAGGGGCTCAGGCAGAGGGAGAAGCAGACTCCTGGCCGAGCAGGGAGCCCGACGCGGGGCTGGATCCCAGGATCCCGAGACCATGACCTGAGCTGAAGGCAGACGCTCAACCGACGAGCCACCCAGGCGTCCTAACGTATTTTTAGAAAAAATCCTGAATTTGTTATAAACATATCATTAATTAGGAAATAGCTGTCAATATATTGCTAATGATTCAACTGGAAACTAAGCCTGTTAACTCCTAAATTTCTAGGTCACTTTATTTTATTTATTTATTTAAAGATTTTATTTATTTATTTCACAGAGAGACACAGCGAGAGAGAGGGAACACAAGCAGGGGGAGTGGGAGAGGGAGAAGCAGGCTTCCCGCTGAGCAGGGAGCCTGATGCGGGGCTCGATCCCAGGACCCTGGGATCATGACCTGAGCCGAAGGCAGATGCTTAACCACTGAACCACCCAGGCGCCCCGACCCTATTTTATTTATTTGTCAGAGAGAAGGAGAGCACAGCAGGGGCAGCGGCAGGCAGAGGGAGAAGCAGGCTCCCCACTGAGCGAGGAGCCCCATGTGGGACTCGATCCCAGGACTCTGGGATTATGACCCGAGTCAAAGGCAGACACTTAACCAACTGAGCCAACCAAGCGTCCCTCTAGGTCACTTTAAATAAAAAGTATTTGCAAGTCATATTGTTTCAAAGTATTTTGTCACTATTTATCCATATAAAACAGAGTTGTCTTAATTCACTAAGCAACCAAAAAACAAATAAAAGGCAGATTCTCAGAAGACTGATAAGGGACTCCCATCATGGCCTGAACCACTCACTGACCCACTGTCTAAGAGCACACTAAGGCTGCTGGACTGATAGATTATGAAGGCACAAGCTTACACAGCACTTAATATGTGTGCCAGGCACTAATCTATGTGTTTTAAGCATTCTAATTCACTGATCTTCACGATAATCTTAGGAGGTAGACAATTATCACCTCCCTTTTACACAAAAAGTGAGGCCAAGAGAAGGTGAGGAACTTCCCCAAGGTCACATAGCAGCCTGGTAAGGGGCAGAGTCAGATTCCACCCAAACAATGTGGGCCAAGAATCTGAGCCCTTAACTACCAGCTACACTGTCTCTAATAAATGCAAGTTATACACCTCAATTTACAAAGTCAACTCCTAGATGTAAAGCACCACTTCCTGTTTTATACACCAGGGCTGTTGTACAAAGACTGCACTTGACAAAGGGGTTTCACTGTCAAAACATTTCTTAAAGTCCCTGATGCTGGGTTATTAGTTGTGACAATGGAAGGGGGCTGTTCAGTGGAGCACCGAGATGCAGTAACTTCCTCTTACAGAAGGAAACAGTTCCAGCATCAGAAAATATAACTGTGCACTGAATAAAAACCAAAACCACAACTGCAGGAAGAAAAAGGATGTTTCTCATGTTCTAAGATTTATCTGAGATTTGTTCATCTGTTGGCAGTGCTTGATTCTCCCAGCAAGTAAAGAGAGCAGGAGACATCAAAAGTGTAAGAAAAATACCCTGGGGGAAAAGTAAATTGAAAACAATTTTACCTGTAAAATTTACCAATTTTTCCTGTCAAATGGCAAAAGGATCACCATTATTTTAGTATTATCAATAGAAGTCCTGATTCCACTTAAGAAGCTTTTGAAAACTTGCATTCCCCGAAAACGTAACTTAAGACACTGAAATACGTAAACAGAACTACAATTTATTGCTACAGATAATATTTTCTAAGTGGTCATTTATCAAGAGTCAAGAGTCCCATATACTGAATTAAACCCATCACTTGAGTTCTCTACAACTTCACATTCAGCAGGGAGAGAGAGAATGGCCTGCACCACTGCCCCGTGTTCCCCCATGGCAGCTAGCGAGAACTGAAGAGACGGCAGAGACACATGATGCTTCAAAGTTCACATCCACCGGAGAAATCAGAGCCGGGCCATGCCCACTGGATCACCCCTGCTCCCCGTCTAGGCCAGCAGAGGGCCATGAACCTATTTACTTCTCAAAACCAGGACCCCGCCCCCCACAATTGTGAGATAAAATGTAGATTCTTTGAAGTCTGGAAAAAGGGAGAAACTATGAAATGTCAACTACTCTTACCTTGTTTCTCTTTTTCTTTTAGTGGATCGGTGTTATAGACTCGGAATCCGTTTTCCATCCCACAGGCAAAGCATCCTTAAGTGTGAAAGCGAGAGAGAGAGAGAGACACACACACACATTAATCCACAGTGGGATCTCAGCTAAGGGCCTCACGGCCCAGAACAGCCAAAACAAGGGGTCTGGAGAAAGCAGTCTTTCCTAAGAGCTCTTGCAGATGCTTGGACAACACGGGTGTGGTCTGCTCAGCCACAACCACCCTCCTCAGGGCTGCTATTAAATGACGTGCATATCCCGGCACAATGTTTTTGGTCATCTAACGTGGAAAAGAGCCTTTGGAGCCACTCCAACTTCCTCCTGCAGGGCCTTTCTCTGGCATTCCTGAAGACCAGCTGTGCCTGAACTTCATTCCACGAGAGGGGTTCACCAGCTACCTCCACAAGCCATTCTGCCACTGCACATTTCCCTCAACATCTGCCTTTTGCTAACACCACTGGCTCCCCCATTCCTAACACATCTCTCGAGTGCTGTCTGTCAGACACCAAGATCTGGAGAGGCAATGACAGAACAAGGAAGTCCATGCCTTCTGGAGGACAGCTGGAGCCAGCAATCCCAGCAAGTGTGGACACAGCAGACCGGGGCGGGAAGGGGCGGGGAAGGGCTGCTGCAGGATGGCCTTCCAGAAAGTGGACTAAGGTCTCCCATGACCTCCTCCCACTGTAAACAAGCCTAACCTTGAAAGCTCTGTCACGGTCACACACCAGGTTGTTAATGGTCCAATTAACATCCACCAGAACAGCTAAAATGGTGGAAAGCACCAAGCGTAAAGCAGGTTTGGAGGCATGGAAACTCCGAACCTGCTGGTGGATGGTGAACCGGTGCCACCACCCTGGAGCTCTGTTTGCTTCATCTACTACAGCTGCAGCTCTAGCCCTCAGTGCATAGGCCTCACAGAGATGCTCGCCACGACACGCATTACGATGGTCACGGCAGTGCTCTTACACCCTAACAGCCAGAAACTGGGAACCCACCCAAATGCCCCCCGATGGCAGACTGAATTAATTTTGATATAGTCACACAGAAAACCACTGTGCATCAATGAGAATGATCTACAACAATACTCGGCAATATGGAGAATGTCCCACAAATGTGATGTTGAATAAAAAAGCCAGGAACAAAAATAAACTACAGACACAGGCAAAACGAATTCACACACTGGAAGTTAGACCGGACTGTGGCCATGACCCGAAGGAGCACCGTGCGGCCAGGTGTGCTGTTTCTTCACCTGGCTGCTGCTGGAAGGTGTGTTCAGGTTGGAAAACTCAAGCTGAACACTTAGGGCTTGTGCGCTTTTCTGTAAGTACAGCATACTTCAGTAAAAAGAAGGAAACGTATTACAAACACCAAAGGTTGGCAACCACTCTCCAAGAAGTCTAGGCATCATCCTTGCTATGTTCACACAACTTTTTTCCCACAGAGGAAGCCCCAGCCCAACAGCTGGGGACCCCACCGGGCCCTGGGCTGGCTGGTGGGGCGGCAACGGGGCCCTGGACTCACTGGGGGGGGGCTCTCCTATACACAGGCACACCTTATTCCATGTTGCTTCACAGGCCCCGTGCTTCGTCCAATCGAAGGTCTGGCAGCCCTGCCTCCACCAAGTCTATCAGCACCATTCTTCACAGCATTTGCTCACTCACGTCTCTGTGTTACATTCTGGTAATTCTAGCAAGATTTCCAACTTTTCCCTTAGTATATTTGTTACGGTGATCTGTGATTAGTGATTATAACTCACTGAAAACTCAGATGGTAGCTAACATTTTTTGGCAATGAACTATTTCTTAAGTAAGGTATGTACAGGGGCGCCTGGGTGGCTCAGTCGGTTGGGCATCTGCCTTTGACTCAGGTCATGATCCCAGGGTCCTGGGATCGAGTCCTGTGTCGGGCTCCTCACTCAACGGGGAGCCTGCCACTCCCCCTCTGCTTGTGCTCTCTCTCGGAAATAAAGAAAATCTTTTTTTTTTTTTTTAAGATTTTATTTATTTATTTGAGAGAAAGAGGGAGAGTGCATGTGTGCACGTACATGAGCAGGGGGAAGGGGAGAAGGAAATGGACAAGCAGACTACCTGCTGAGTGTGGAGCCTGATGCGGGGCTCGATCCCAGAACCCTGAGATCATGACCTGAGCGGAAGTCAGACGCTTAACCGGCTGAGCCAGCCAGGTGCCCCAGAATCTTAAAAAAAAAATTAAAGTACGTACATTTTTCTTTAGACATAATGCCATTACACCCTTAACACACTGCAGTATAGTATAAACATAACTTTTATATGCACTGAGAAATAAAAATATTCATTTGACTCACTTTATTGTGACAGTCTCTAGTACAGTGGTCTGGAACCAAACCTGCAGTGTCTCTGAGGTGTGTGTGTAGAGACTACTCACATACAGCCCACATGCAAATACTACTACCACCCCCTACCCCCTTTCCCCGTAGCTACAGTGAAGTGGGCCAAGGACAGGTGTCTGTGGCCTCAGGTCTTGGTCCAGGCAGGATAAGCAAGTATAGAGAGAAAGGGTACATACTCAAAAATTTGAGTTTCCTGAGGAAATAGAAAAAAAAAAATAGGCAGCTAAATTATAGAAATGTACATCTCAACACTTAAGAGTCTTGAAGACCATCATGCAAATTATTTTTAGAAGATAAAAGTTTGAACATGTGAGCAGATGTCCTTTTAAAAATGATTTCTTGTACATCTGAAACAAATGTAACATTATGTGTCAACTAATTTCAACTAAAAAATTTTATTTTTTTTAAGATGTTATTTATTTATTTATTTGAGAGAGAGAGAGAGAGAAACAGCATAAGAGGGGAGAGGGTCAAAGGGAGAAGCAGGTTCCCCGCTGAGCCGGGAGCCCGATGTGGGACTCGATCCCAGGATTCCGGGATCATGACCTGAGCTGAAGGCAGTCGCTTAACCAACTGAGCCACCCGGGCACCCTCAACTAAAAAATTTTATTTTATTTTATTTTTATTAAAGATTTTATTTATTTATTTGAGACAGAGAGAATGAGAGATAGCACGAGAGGGAAGAGGGTCAGAGGGAGAAGCAGACTCCCCGCTGAGCAGGGAGCCCAATGTGGGACTTGATCCCTGGACTCCAGGATCATGACCTGAGCTGAAGGTAGTCGCTCAACCAACTGAGCCACCCAGGCGCCCTCAACTAAAAAATTTTAAAAATAAAGAATGATTCTTAGGGACACCTGGGTGGCTCAGTCAGTTAAGCGTCTGCCTTCGGCTCAGGTCATGATCTCAGGATCCTGGGATGGAGCCCCATACTGGGCTCCCTGCTCAGCGGGAAGTCTGCTTCTCCTTCTCCCTCTGCCTGCCACCCCCCCTGCTTATGCCCTCTCTCTCTCAAATAAATAAAATCTTAAAAACAAACAAACAATGATTTCTAAGCAAAAGTTGCAATGAGTGTTAAAAATACTGAAGAGGGGCGCCTGGGTGGCTCAATCAGTTGAGTGTCCAACTCTTGGTTTCGGCTCAGGTCATGATCTCAGGGTCATGAGATCAAGCCCCATGTCCACAGGGCTCCCCACTCAGCAGGAAGTCAGCTTGGGGTTCTCCCTTTCCCTCTGCACCCCCAGCCCTGGCTTGTGCGTGCATGTGCACTCTATCTCTCTCAAATTTAAAAAACGCTGAGTAGAAATTAAAAATCAGTATAAGTAAAAACAAAATGTAATAAATTCAATCATCTAGCATAAATTTATAGAGAATTTAACCTAAGGGTAATCAGAAGTTTAAGTATAAAAGCATATTTTTTTCCTTCAAAAAGACTTTACCTACAATTTGTTAAAATGAAATGAGCTGGGCTTACAGAAGGGCATTTTTCAGACAATGGAAATATGGCCTTTTAAGAGTCACAGCTGTATTTTATTTTATTTATTTCTTGAGGGAGGGAGAAGATCCCAAGCAGGCTCTGCTGGATCTCATGACCCCGAGACCACCACCCAAGCCAAAACCAAGAGTCGCATGCCCAACCGACCGAGCCACCCCAGGTGCCCCACAGAGCTGTATTTTAAAAACAATCTTTGATAAAATATTTATAAAAATATAATAATCCTCACTGGTTTCTTAAATAATCAGCATCATTATGAGCCCCGAATACTGTACTGAAACTTAATTCAAAGATTCCTCACTCAGCATCAAGGCAGGTATCATAAGAACGAATCTCTTGCATTAAGTGACTTCAAGTCACTAAGCTGTTTGCGTTTGTAAACACAAAAGGTATCACAAGTTTTTATAGTTACCTCTCCCCTCCCTTACTACCAGCTAGCCATCTCTTTCCACTGAAAACATATTTTTTTTAAAGATTTTATTTATTTATTTATGGGGGGGGACAACAGAGGCAGAAGCAGACTCCCCAGCAAGCAGGGAGCTCAACTCAGGACTCGATCCCAGGACCCCGGGATCATGACCTGAGACAAAGGCAGATACTTAACCGACTGAGCCAACCAGGCGCCCCTGAAAACATATTTCTTAAGGAGTTGTTATATCACTGTTAATTCCTTAAAGAGCTTTCAATTATTATCAAACCCATTAAAAAACCTACTGGCCTCCTCTGGTAATCAAACCCCAAAACGTTCAGCCACATAATTGCCCAATGTCCAACATCTGGCCCCAAACTCATACCTCACTCATAAATACGTCTCCCACAATCCCCGCAGTCCGGCCCAACCAAAACCACCTTCCGTGGCTCAGCCGACGGCACTCACACCCGTCCAAACTTTCCCCGCGGCTGCCACCTCCTCCGAGAACCGTCCCTGACCTCAAAGGCCGGAAGGAAACTTGCTCTCCTCCAACTACATGAAAACCTCCTCATCTTGGCATATGCCTCTTTCTACCTGCCACCTTGTTCTCTCTCCTATGACACCACAATCAACACCTGTGGGCAGCTTTAACCCAGCCTTCGGAGCACAGCACAAAGTAAACACGCCAACCACAGCTAGGCAACCGCTGCACTGTCCAGTTAAAATTACCTTCACAAAGGCGCGATCCTACAGCACTACTCGGATTCTCTTCAAAAACAAAACTTCCAAAGCGACCAGGTAAGAGCTCTTCACGTCTGTCCCTGAACAGCAGCTGTCAGCTCCTTCCTCCCCAGTGGGGAGGCTAGTAACTGTGCAGTGAAGAGGCAGCTCTGCGCCCCGGTCCTCCCCGCCCCTCCCGGCCCCTCCCCTCCCGCATCCTGCTGGCTTTCCCGGACGTGGCTCCAAGAGCGGTTTAAATCACCCAGGGACCTCAGCTGGATTCCAAAACGGGAAAATAAAATGCCATTTCCCCCGATGGCATACTCAATAGTCAAGTCCTTAGAGGTCCTTTGATTTCACCAAACAATAAGAAAAAACGCTAAGGGAGTTCAGGGACACTTTCTCATTAAAACCAACGCAACAGGCGAGGACCTGCACCCAACTAGGTCAGCAGGCCTGCAGGACTCGTCAATAAAAAGTCTAAGTACGCGGCTGAAAAGAAACTCAAGTGTTTTTCAACTCAACTAGAGCTTATCCGCCGAAGATCCTAAACGGGTACAGGAAAAAAAAGTGGAGTTTCGAAGCTGACCCCAGTATAAGCCGTGGGGAAAAATCCGATTATCGTCGAATCCGGTGGGAGCCCGCGGAGGAGGGCTGACCGGGTGGGTGCAGCCGTCGGCCCGGAGCTCCAGAAAAGTCCGGAGGCGAGGGACCCGCCCCGACCTTGGCCCACACCCCCCGCCCGGAGTGGGAGCGGCGCCGGCAGGGCCGGGGCGCGAGGCCAGGACAAAACTGGGGGTGGCACGGTCAAGGGCCGCCTCGGGGGGAGGGTGGGGTGGAAGGTGTCGGGGAGAAGAACCCGCCAGCTCGCCAGGTGTTGGGGGGCGTCCGGGGAGGGACCAGGCCGGGTCGGGGGGCGCCGGGGGGAGGAGCCGGGTCGGGGGACGCCGGGGGGCGTCGGGGGAGCGGCCGGGGCGGGGGGCGTCGGGGGAGGGCCGGCCGGGGCGGGGGGCTCCGGAAGAGGCCGGGTCGGGGCCCGGGCGCGCGCAGGGGCGCCCTCACCGTGGTCCTGGTTGAAGCCGGCATAGAGCAGCCCGTTGCCGTGGGGGTTACACGGCAGGAGGTTCATGGCGCCGCCGCGAAGGTCCGCTGCTCCTCAGCGCCGCATGCCCTCTGGGAGGCCGGGCGCTGGGGTCCCGTCTGTCCGGCGGAGTCCGCCGCCGCGCCGGAAGCGAGGGGCGGACGTGCGTGCGCGCGCAGCCAGGGAGCCGCGGAGCGCCGAGCGCATCCACCTGGGCCCGGCCGGGGTGGTGAGGGAGCGCCGAGAACGTCACGTGCGCAGGCGCGGGGCCGTGTCGGAGGCGGGGCCTGTGCGGAGGGAGGCGGGCTTGGGGAAGAGGGGAGGGGCCTGGCGGCCGGGTGGCGGGGCGGGTCTGGGGGCGGAGAACCACCTACCAGGTCGGCGGAGACTGGAGGGCAACCTACCCGGGACCCGGGGCGATTCAAAGAAGCAACCGCGCCCCACCCCCGCCCCTCGCGAGCAGGCAGGGCCCACAGCCCCATATATAACTAGAGCCCCCCCCAGGAATCATATAAATTGAGGGACTTTTTCTTATTTTTTTTTATTTTTATTTTTTTAAACATTTTATTTATTTGAGAGAGAGAGAATGAGAGATAGGACGAGAGGGAAGAGGGTCAGAGGGAGAAGCAGACTCCCTGCTGCGCAGGGAGCCCGATGCGGGACTCGATCCCCCGACTCCAGGATCACGACCTGAGCCGAAGGCAGTCGCTTAACCAACTGAGCCACCCAGGCGCCCCAAGAGACTTCTTCTTATTTTTAATTGATTGAAAAGATCAGCATTTAAAATAGTAACAATGTATTATAGGGTTTTTATGACATACAGAAGTAAAAGGTACACAAAAATAGAAAAATGGATGGAAGTGAGGAAGTATATAGAAGTATAGACCCACCCCATACCTCCACAGGACACAGCCTCCACCCAGGACACACAGGCCCCCCCCCACAGGACACACAGCTCCCCTCCCAGGACACACAGCCCCCACAGGAAACACAGCCCCCCCCAGGACACAGAGACCCCACAGGAAACACAGCCCCCCCCCACAGGAAACACAGCCCCCCCAGGACACACAGACCCCCCCTCCTTGGACACACAGCCTCCCTCCTGGGACACACAGCCTCCCAGGACACACAGCTCGCCTCCCAGGACACACAGCCCCCCAGGACACACAGCCCCCCTCCCAGGACACACAGCCTCCCTCCTGGGACACACAGCCTCCCAGGACACACAGCTCGCCTCCCAGGACACACAGCCCCCCAGACACACAGCCCCCCTCCCAGGACACACAGACCCCCCCACAAGACACACAGCCCCCCTCCCAGGACACACAGCCCCCCTCCCAGGACACACAGGACACACAGCCTCCCTCCTGGGACCCACAGACCATCCCCTCGAGGGACAAAGTCTGGACTTCCTGGCACAGAGCAGCTGGGCTGCGGTCCGACTCCAACATGAGTGGCCACGGAGTCAAGAGTGCTGGCCCTAGGGTCCCCTACTCAGACAACCCTCTGGTCTCTCTCTCACTGTCCCCTGTCCTGTTTTCCCCTTGCACCCAGACACCCACAGTCCAGGCAGCACCCCTTCCTGCCTCTCCCATCCTCCCCTCCCATCTGCACCCTTGAGCTGCTGACCCACCTACAAGGCGGCACCCTTTCTGCCCTGGGGCCCTGGGGTCCGACTTTGCCCGTGCATGCCCTGCTGGTAGAGTCGGAGTAACTCAGTTTACGTATGTGGGGGGATCTCAGGCTGGGGGCCCATGGTTTGGGACAGGGGCCAGGATCTAATCACAGACTCACAGACCTGGGGCTGTTCACTGCAGCCCACAGACTCAGAAAGAACCCTGCTGCTGGAGAGCCTCGCCCCAGCAGTCCGGTTGTTACCGCTGCACACGGGCACCTGTGGTCACCAAAGCGGGCACTCAGGGAAGTGAGAGCCTCAGCCCGTCCTTTGATCTGGGGCCTCCCGCAGTTCCTGTGTCACTCCAGGTCCTTCTGTGACAGACAGTAGTAGGCTGGGGGTGCTGCTGAGGGTGCTCCTCGCCACTGTATCTTAACCCCAGAAACTCAAAGCTGTACCACCCCCTGGAATGGGTCCAATGGTGACCCCCAGAGACATGCCCACGCAGAACTGCGACCGTGACCCTATTTGGAGAACCTTTGCCGGTGTAATTAAGGACCCTGAGATGAGATCACCCTGGATCTAGGGTGGACCTTGAATCCATGACGAGTGTCGTCCTTAGTGGAGAAGGGGAGGGGAGAAGACAGAGGGATGGCCACTTGATGGGAAGAGGCTGAAATTGGCGCCACGTAGCTGCGAGCCAACACGTGCTGACAACTGCAGTCACCCCCAGGTGCCGGAAGAGGCCTGGGAGGGGCCCCCAGCCTCCAGACAGTGAGGACGTGGGTGTCCCTTGCTGGAGCCATCTATTTCTGGCAGCCCTAGGAAACCAGCACAGCCCATCAGTAGCTCACATGTCTTTAGGCAGAAGATGGGAGAAGTGGCTCGAAATGAGCGCCAGGCTCCTCACTGACTCCCTCTCCTAGGTGGGAGGGGGCACGTTCTCACCTCCGGGGCGCAGACTGGGGTTTGAGCCAGGGATGGAGGGCACAGGCATTACGTGTGTTCCCCACTAAAGCCCAACTTCCTGTCTGTAAGAGGAAAATTACATCTAGTGTGTTAACAACACAGGCCACAGAGAGAAATGCTTCACGGGGTCTCAAAATACCTTGTGTGTCTCCACTGGGGACGGGGTATTCTGCGAGGTGTCTGTGTCTGTTATGGGTTCTTACTGCCAGCCCAGGACAGAGCTCAGCCTCTGCTCAGGGAGCGCCAGATCCTCATGCCAGGGTAGGGAACTTCGTCCGGCACCTGCCAGCCTGCTTACATGAAGCCAGCCCATTACCCACCACTGACTCGCCTGCGCACTGCCTGGCAGACGTGTCCGGCAGCCATCCTGCACTGAGACTCTGCTCAGCCTCGTCCAGTTCCTCTGTTTGGCCAACAGCATGAGAACACTCCCAGAAGAGGCCGGGGCCCTGGGGGGGGAGGAAGACCTGAGAACACGTGCATCACTGGGAGTGAACAGGGTGAGCACCGGCTGTCCCCTGCCTCGCCCCCCCCAGCTGGGCACCAGCCCCCCTCACATCTGGCTCAATCCAATCCACAACACCTGGGACGACTGCCCTGTTCTCCAAGCACTTGCTTTAAAGAGGTGGTTCTCCAGCAAAGGGCAGCCGCTCCCACCTCCGACTCCTTGGCAGACCAATGTTATGGAGCCCTGTAATTGACACTTTTTTCCAGATTTAATATTTGCCTAGATAGTTCCTATCAAAGCTGTGAGTTCTCTGTCCAGGAGATTATTCTGCATTGCAGTAATTTTCACAGGGCAACTGAAGACATAATTGTACGTATTTTGAATCTAGATGCTTACGAAGAGAATTACAAACATCTGGGGCATAATCTGGCATTCCTGTTTACACTTTGGGTGGGTTTTGCCAGTGGGGAGGGCCATGGAAGAGACAGACAACGTGTGAGAGCAGTTTTTCTAGCGTTCAGTTTACATTTGATTATACTTTCAGTATATTTACCACCCAAACATGCATGCTTTACTTCGTAATACATTCCATATTCCGGTTTACTTGTTTCTCTTTCCTAGGAATGCCACTTGGATTTGCTAAAGCACTTTCTACTGTGAAGTATAACTTCTTGTTGTGGAGTGTCCTGGGGCCAGCACAACACTGGGGGTACTCAGCACGGCGGAGATTTGCCCTCTCACAGCTCTGGGGGCTCTGGGACCGGAGTCTGAGATCCAGGTGCAGGCGGGGCCCTAGGGGCTCCTTCCCACCTCTGCCAGCTTCTGGGGGCTCCAGGCGTCCTTTGTCCCCCAGGAAGAACTCCAGATCACAGAGGCTATATTCCTTCTAGAACATTAGTGGTAGTCTTAAGGAGTCCTTTAGCTGAAGATGGAACTGAATGGAAGGGAGGAGAGCCCTGTTTGGTCTGGTGTGACCTTGCCACCAGGGGACATGTTCCAGTGCCCCCCTGCCATCCTTGACTTAGGGACCTGCAGCTTTGGTTCTCCAGAAGTCTGTTCTTCACAGGGGAGAAGAGGTGCCACAGGGGCTCCCTTCAACTTGGACCTCTCCTCACATCCCTCCTGGTCACCCATGTGGGAAAGAGATGCCCCACCTGGGCCGGCCCCGCATCGGTCACAGCAGGTCAGATGACACCCATCCTGGGCACCCTGGCTGTCCCCGCACTCATGGTCAGTGGGTTGACCCTTTCTCCATCCACTGCCGGGTGGAGAGAAGGTGCTGTGGCTCCAGCAGGACATCCTCCCAGGCCGGCAGCCCCTGCAGAGGCACTGTCCCCTCAGGGTTTACCTGCTGTCCCCTCGCCTGCTCCCCTGTGGACATTTGTCCCCATCGTGCTCAGGGGGCTGCGAGGCCTCAAGCCTGGCCCCAGGCCTTCAGCGGCCAGGGGTGGCCAGCCTCATTTCTCCTCTGGCCTTCCAAATAGAGATGTTGCTTCTGATTCTCGAGTCCCTTAAATTTCTAAAAATCTGTAAATAGTTAATAGAAACTGAGAACTGGGCGTTTTCTCATTGCTACTTTTTAAAGCTTCCTCATCAACCATCAACTGCTGCTGAGAGATGTCAGAGAGCTACAGCTTCCTGGCTGTAGCCAGGAAGGTGAGACCCTGCCCCAGGCCTCTTACGCCGCTCTTGTGATCAGCAATAAGGGTCTGTCTGTCTGTCTGTCTGTCCGGGGTGCCTGACGCATCTGTGAGTGCCCCAGGGGGAGTCAAGAGCCCCCTCTGCTGTTTTCCCAGATGGGCACACGTTCCAGGGTCTCTCCTTCATACTTCCACTTTCTGCCTCTGTGTTTCTTTCCAGGGAAGGGAGTCTCTTATCAGCAGACGCCATGTGCAGGACAGGTGATGAAGCAAATTAAATAAAGGGCTATGTGAACACACAGAATCAGAAAGAACCAGCCAACAGTCCTACCAAGAAACAAGTATACATTTTATTGTCGAGAAACATTCTCTTAAATAACAGCGTCCACTTCTTTCCTTACCGAAACGGCTCCGGATGATAATCTCCTCGCCCATCTGGATCTGACGTAACTATGCTGTGGCCATTCGACAACTAGAGATATCTTTGGCATTTTCTTCCCTTTGCTTCGTAACTTGTGGGACATTGTGTACAAAAAAATGTAGATTTACAGAAAAATATGCATATAAATCACTTATTGATCCCCAAACAGGATCAATAACATAGCAAAAACTTTATCAAATTCGTGTCAGACCCGCCCTGCATAATCTCCCGACCTCCCCCGTGCTCGTGAACTAGCACTTCGATGTGAAGAGGAGGTTTACAAAAAGGCCCTCTTGTGAGGTCGAAGACATTCTCTGTGCCGTTGCTCTCCAGAGTCCCCGGGATTCACACTCATCACGCACGTACTGCGCTCTCATAAAAGCAGTCGTGGCAGGGAAAGGCTGAGCTGCCGTCATCCGGAATCTTGCGTCATCCGGAGCTGAGCAGACGGCCATTCCCCCCGGACAAACACACGTTTAAAACAAGAGCTTCATGCACATCCACGGAGAAACGTCAGTCAGGCTGGGTTTTCACTGCACGGAGCGGCTCAGGCACCGTGAGAGATCTCACCGTGAGAGACCTCAGCGTGAGAGACCGGCAGGTGCTTTCCTGGGCCTGGAATGGGCTCCCGCGTCTGTCCCGCGTCCGCCCCGCGTGGGACGGCTTGGCATCTCTCCCGGAGGGGCCGGCGTCTGTGCTCAGGCGCCTTCTTCAGGAGACTTTGCAGCTGTTCCTGGGGCAGCGCCTGGGCGGGCTCTGGGGTGGGCGGGTGGCCTTCACCTTGCGGAGGCCGCTCCTCTTGTGGGTGGAGCTGGTGGTGAGGGAGTAGGAGCGGCCGTGCATCATCCTGGCGTTCAGGCCGGTGGCCATGGAGAAGGATTTGAGGTGGCTCCTCAAGGCCATGGGCAGCGGGAGCTTGTCCACCAGGTGCACGGGCGTGCAGGACACCACCGCGCGGCAGCACAGGTCCTGCAGGCTCAGCACTTGGGAAGGAGAGGAAACCGGGCTTAGTTCACATTGTCCTGGACACATGCCGACCGCAGGGCAGCCCGCTCGCCTCCCCACCTTCCTTCCCCAGGACTTGGGCTGAGCACCCCACCCACCGTGCCCTCGCATGGCCCTGGGAAGGGCCGGAGGTGGGCCACCCTGCTTTAGTCGCCTTGGACTAGAGACCCCTACCCCTGGGGCAGACCTGGAGCGGAGACGGTGGCCGTTGAGGTCGTCCTGCAGGCCTCACCTGACTGCGGTTTGGGGTGAGAGACCGAGGGTGTCAGGGATGACCTTCCCAACCACACCACTGACATCGGAAGCACGTGTGACCAGCTCTATGGGGACATGCCTGAGAGCGTGCCTGAGAAGCAAGTGCTTCGGTCTCATCTACACTATTCCTCATGTGAGTCGGGCTCCCCGGGATGGGGCCCTGTGAGACCTGATGAGGGCGGCACTCGTGGGGCAGCCCCTGAGGGGTCAGGCCCAGGGGTCTCAGTAGAGAGCTCTCTCCACGCAGTGGCCCTCAGCTGGGGGTGGTTTTGACCCCCTGGGACACTTGTGGTTTCCACTGCTGGGGGGCAGGGGGCAGAGGGCAGAGCACACTGAATGCCCCCCCAGAGCAAACAGCCCTGTCGAAGCCGGCAGCAGTGCTGAGATGGAGAATCCCTAACTGAGAAGAATCCAGTTTGGCTCCCTATGCCACCCAGTTCAATGACTATAGGTTTTGTCCTTTTGTCTTGTAACAGTCATATGAGGCCAGGTTGCGAGGAAATCCGTGACAGGGACTGTCACCGTAAAGGCCCCACAAAGTAGATGACATTGGAGGACACGGGTCTTTGGACAGATTAACACCGAGGGATCTGAACAGTATTCCAACCTCAGGTTATAGGGTGCCCACTATGCTCGAGGCGCTTCTGTTTCTCAGGTTCCCCTCTTTGCAAAGAAAAAATAAAAAGAGTTGGAAGTGAATCATTCCTGACACGATATGTGCTTCCCAAAACCATGGGGTGAAACCTGGCCGGTCCTCAGCGGGTCCTGCTCTGCGTGGGGAGGTGCCGCCCCCTTCCCACTGCACAAGCCTGTTTGCACATGCCTCCACCTCTGCCCACACAGAGACCTCAGAAATGCCTCTCGTGAACTTTCTTTTTTTTTTTTCTAAAGATTTTATTTATTTATTTGAGAGAGAGAGAGAGAGAATGAGAGATAGAGAGCATGAGAGGGAAGAGGGTCAGAGGGAGAAGCAGACTCCCTGCTGAGCAGGGAGCCCGATGTCGCACTCGATCCCAGGACCCTGGGATCATGACCTGAGCCGAAGGCAGTCGCTTAACCAACTGAGCCACCCAGGCGCACTCTCGTGAACTTTCTGACAAAACTATTAATAGTGATTCCTCTCAGATTAAATGCATTTACTCTGAGGATGGACATGGCGGCTTAAGGCGGATCCTGGGAGGCAGACCAGGGTCTGGGGGCTGTAGGACGGCCTGATTCGTGCCTACCCTTGCTCGGCCTCCAGAGCCGGTCCATCCCGTGTCTCAGCAGCACGGTCCTGGCCAGCTCCGTGAAGGACTCGGTGATGTTGAAGTTGCACAGAGGACTGACCTCGAAGAAGGTGACTCCCAGGCGCTCCGCGTAGGCTTGTGCCTGCTCTGTGGGGACCTGCCGCTTGAAGGCCAGATGCAGGCGGTTTCCCACCAGGATTTTAGGGACGCCAGGGGCGTGCTGAAGGGTTAGAGAAAGGCAACGGGGTTACTTGGTGAGCTTTTGTGGTTGCTCGCACCTTGGGTGTACAGGGTAAATCCTCCCCCAGTTCATGCCCACCCAGAACCTCAGAATGTGTCCTTATTGGAAATAGGACCTTTCCAGAATGTAATTAGTTAAGATGAGTTCACTGGGGTGGGCCCTCAACGCAGTCACTGGTGTCCTTGTAAGAAGAGGAGAGGACACAGAAGTCACAGTGGAAGAGCCACGTGCGGGCAGAGGCAGAGACTGGAGTGATGGGTCTATAGGCCAAGGACCGCCGGCAGCCCCCCCAAAGCTGGAGAAGGCAGGAAGGATCCTCCTCTAGAGCCTTTGGAGGGAGCCAACCCGGCTGACGCTACATTTTGGACTTCTGGCCTCCAAACGGTGAGAGCGTACATTCTTGCTGTTTACGGCCACGTGTTTCAGCAGGCTGCAGGAAACTGACACCGTGCGTGTGGTTCTGACCACTTCGTGTCCACACTGGCAGTCGGGCGGCTGCGGGTGCCGGCGGGCAGCAGCCCAAACACCACCCGCCAACCCACTCCACACAGGAGGTGGTATGAGGCCCCGACCCCCGGGGCTGGGTGGGTCTCCAAGTTAGGGCCCAGTCCTGTTCTGGGAGGTGACACAGCCTCGTGCTGCGGAAGCCTCGTGTCCTGGCCACATGCCCGACACCCCCACACGCCCATGCGGACGGTGCCTGGCACACCATGTCGTACCTCGTCTATCTCCTTAATCCACCGGTCGATGCCATCAAAGGACCAGCGGTTTGCGATGTCATAGACCAGGATCACACCCTGGGGGGAGAGGCACCAGGCTTACCTTACGGGACAGAGGCGGACACAGCCCTGGACCGTGCTGGCCAGTGTGCAGGCTACTTCGTCACGGACTCACAACCAGCTAAATGACCATTTTACTTATTTTAACAGAAAACATATTATTTTTGTTTATCTACCAAATGTCGTAGTTAAGTATTTCTAATGATATTTCATGAGCTCATTAATCAACCCTCAAATGTCAAGGTGAGCTGGGGACTCAATCCCCCACATCCACAAGCTGCTCTAGAGACACGGCATGTGGAGAGCCTGCAGGGATCACCTCCTTCCTAAGAGCAGGGCCCGCCCACCTGGACAGAGTGCTCTCCTGAACATGCACGACACACACACACAATCACATGAACAACGGTGCACACACAGCCCTGCTGCATGCATATGTATGCGCAGACACACACAGACACACGCGTGCACGCAGGCCCACGTGCATGCAGACATAACACATGCATCCACACACACACAGGTGCTCATCCCTGAGGCTGAAGGCTTGTGAGCCACCAGACATTCCTTGGCACACTTTCAGCCTCTTGCATCAATTCGTATATGAGCTTAATTGCCTTCTCCTCCAGGTATCCATTTAAGAACATTCCAAATGTTATTATTCAGTCAGTTAACTTCCTGGCTCAGGGCATGTTACCTGTGCGCCCCGAGAGTAGGAGCGGAATATGGTACAAAATCTTCCCTGCCCGGATGTATCCCTGGAAAAGATGATGGAGGCCATTGAGAAGAAATCACTGCTTCTTCCTGACAACAGGGTTTGGAACTTGGGAGCCGTAGCAAACACATTTTACAACTGTCAGTCAGTGGCCATCCCACTACAGATACATCCCTAAATTTATCAAAACAAAGAACTGACCCAGGGGGTGCGGACACCTGGAACGACCGGAATGGAGCTCCAAGCGCCATAAATCAGGATAAAGAAAAACAACATTCCCGTGGGATGGATTCCAGCAGCCTGTTCTCACGGCAGCGGCTCTGAGGACCGGTGGGTGCTGACTCCCGGCATCTCTTGTAAGGGCAACACACATCTGCGTGTGTAATGAGCACGCCCACGTCCACAGGGGATCCCCCACGGGGATGAGGGTGGGACTGCAGGTCCAACCACATCCTCACTACAAACAGCGCAACTTCTCTCTTTTCTCCGCGTCACCTGCAGGTGGTGACCTGCCCCTGCTTTCTGAGTCCTGGATGAGCCACCATGAGGGAGGGCAGGGCCTGGGGTTCAGGAGAGCCAGAGGTGCTGACCGTGGCCCAAGACGGGAGGAGGAGCTCCTCAGTGTCGAGGAGCAAATAGATGGAGAACTCGCAGCTCAGCCACTACAGGGTTTCCGCTTTGCCTGCAGGTGGAAGTGGCTGGGAAGTTTGTGGGCAAGGAGGCACAGGAGGAGAGCAGCCCTGGGGCATGAATCGCCAGCTTTCATGGGAGACTGGTGGCTGTCATGAAGTGGGAACGTCCCTGGACGTGGGGTGTTGTGGATTCCCCCCGGGCGTGGCAGGAGCGACGGAGGGGGTGGCCACATGACAGCATTCACAAGATGAGACACGCGATCAGGGGGCTTGTCGCTGCCCAGGGGAGGTGCGGGACAGCCTTCGGAGGCCGGGGCAAGCATGGCTGAGAGTGGGGCCCTCAGATGGTCTCAGGGAGGGAGGGAGTCAGGACGAGATGAGCCCTGGGCCCTGCAGGCCTCAGGGCTGGGCAGAGGTTGCCGGGCAGAGCACGCAGGAATCTGAGGACAGCTGGTGAGGACAGGATGCCCCACAGCAGCGGGCAGCCCAGAGGGCACAGGCTGCTGGTGGGCCTAACCCACAACCTCAAACATCCTGGGGCGGGGGGCAGGCAGTGGGAAGGGACAGGGTGCGAAGGGGGCACTGTGGAGAAAGGCTCCCTGCTGACTGCGCCTGGGAAGGGGCAGGTGGGGATGGCAGCAGGACAGGCTTCCAGTCAGGGAGGCTCGCGTGGCTTGGGGCTTGGGCATGTTTGGGCAGAGAAAAGGGCCATGCAGGTGGCCCAGGAGAAGGGATGACACAGGGGCCGGGGACAGTAGTCAGGCAAGTTGCACGGGGGCAGTCGAAGCAGGAAACCCCAATTCTCCCACTCCCCAGCCCCACCCGGAGCAGGAGGGGCAGAGGCAGGGGAGTGCGACCCGACCTCAGAGCCAGGGCTGCCAGGGGAGGCCATGAGAAGGAGACCCCGTCCAGACCCCGGGCCAGGCCCTTCTGCTCCCACCCTCCCACACCTGCCATGGGTCTGTCCCCATCCCACTCACGGGCCCCTCCTGGTGCTGGGGAGGCAGAGGGTTTCAGTGAAGCCATGTTCTGGACAGACCCCCAGGGACCCACAAAGGCCCCAGCGTTCCCGCCCGTGGATGAAGCCTCGGTGGCCCAGACAAGCGGATCTCCACCTCCTCTGGGCAGCCCTGGGTCTGCTGGGGCCGGAGGGGGTGCTCCTCCAACAGGACAGTACTGGTACAGCCTCTCCTCCTGGGGCCGCGCGTCCTGCCTAGAGCCCGGGGTGGGCCCCGACTCACCAGAGCTGCAGCTTCACCCTCCGGCCGTCCAGCAGGATGGTGGTGGTCTTGTAGTCGATACCTGTGGAAGGGGTGCGGGCAGCTTAAGTGCTATGGGCCTCACAGCTATGCTCAAGCAAATGGCACCAGAGAGAACTCTCCTGGGGGTAGAGAGCACCTCTCACGAGGGCAGAGTCGCAGTTTTTGAGGTAGGCAGACTGGACCTTGCTTTGGGTCTCCCTGGGTTCGTGTGGGCCCTGCCCACCAGCCCCACTGCTCACTCTGTGGGGCCTCCGACCTTCCTCTCCTCACTCGGCACCAGCTGCCTCGGCCTCCTGGCCGCCCCAAGGCCTGGGCTTCCCTGGCCGCTGCCTGCCACCTGAGGGGTGGGCAGCGGCAGCCAGCGGACACGGACTTGGACTTTGGCCCCTCAACTGTTCGACATCAGGCCCCCTGTTTGCAGGCAGCTCTGGGCAGCCCCATGTCCCACCCCCTCGTCTCTGTGACCCTCGCTGCTGCCCCACCTCCTGTCCTGGGGCTGTTGCACCTAAGCTTGAATCCCAGGCTCAAACACTGAGATCATTTCCCCAAATTATCACACTAAGAATGTAAAGTAAAATGTGTCACATATAAAATGAGATATGAAAAAAAAAAAAAAAAAAAAAAAAGAAGAAGAGAGCAGGAGGGGAAGAATGAAGGGGAGTAAGTCGGAGGGGGAGACGAACCATTGGAGACGATGGACTCTGAAAAACAAACTGAGGGTTCTAGAGGGGAGGGGGGTCGGGGGATGGGTTAGCCTGGTGATGGGTATTAAAGAGGGCACATTCTGTGTGGAGCACTGGGTGTTATGCACAAACAATGAATCATGGAACACTGCATCAAAAACTAATGATGTAATGTATGGTGGTTAACAATAAAAAAATTATTAAAAAAAAAAAAAAAAAAAAACCCTTATGTAAAATGAGATATGAAGCATTACCTCAACTAAGTAAAGAAAATACACGTGTGTATTTGTGAGTGTATGTGCATGGTGGGGGGCAACAGTGAGGACCAGCCCCACGTTACAACTGGAAATTTCTGGGTTGTGTTTACTTTGTTTACCCCAACCTTTCCCTATTTTAAATTTCTTCAATGAGCATGCATTTTTTTTCTAAAATAAAAAAAAGGAATAAACATTTTTAAAAAAGAAAAATATTCCTCCCCATTCCACTGGAACCCAATTTTCTACTTCTTTGAGAAACCACTCCTGTGTTCACAGAGCAAGTTGCCCGTGAAAGGCAGAGTTTCCAATAAGTAACCAGAGAAAACAAGAAAGGAGTACTCCCTTCCAAAAAACAGATGCAACACAATTTATGATCACAAGGATCCAAACCGCTTAGTAACACCACACCACCAGGCTCTGTGGTGCTTGATTTGTCTCATTTTTAGACTTACTCAGGAATGTCTCTCAAAGCATGCAAACCTCGAGAAGACCAGCCTTGAAAAGGTTCTGGGATGTGGCCAGACTTTAGATATCTTGAGAAGGAAAGCTGGATTAAGAGTTACAAATCTAAAGTGGAATGTGCTTCTGGGGGGCAGGTGGGAGAAGAGAGAGGAGCCCCTACATGGGAGCCTCACCCTGAGAAAGTCCTGGAATGGGTGTGAAATCTTAGCAGCTCTCTACCAAAAGAAAAACCCCCACACCCAAGGCTCAGAAAGCAAGCTCCCCAAATGCAGTGCTAAAGAAGGTGCCATTTCCAAGTAGCTTGGCTGTGCTACCTTGGTGGATCTACAGTGCTTAGACTTAGCTACCCCGCACCCATGAAAGCCACAAGAAAAAGAACACCATATTCATAAACCCTCCTGTCTTTAAAGTAGGTTGAGGGCAATACAGTATGCATGGCGGAAGGTGACAACAAATTTGCTTCTCATTCTGAGGGCACATTGCCCAAGGTTTTAGGGCAGAGCATAGATATTCTGGAAACTGCTTAGGTCAGTACATTCAGGCTCTGTGAAATTACTCTGGAGTGACCAACCAAGGGCCTCTTCACAGCCCTTTAAAATCCCATGGAACTATCTGGAAGGCAACTTCAAATGTCTATATTCTTCCTTTTGCAGCAGTCAGCTTTGGGCATATATGATGTGAGGGACACATGCAATAAAATAGAACATACAGGGCGCCTGGGTGGCTCAGTTGGTTGAGCGACTGCTTTCGGCTCGGGTCATGATCCTGGAGTCCCGGGATCGAGTCCCGCATCGGGCTCCCTGCTCGGCGGGGGGTCTGCTTCTCCCTCTGACCCTCTTCTCTCTCGTGCTCTCTGTCTCTCATTCTCTGTCTCTCTCAAGTGAATAAATAAAATCTTTAAAAAAATAAATAAAAAGGGGCGCCTGGGTGGCTCAGTCGTTAAGCGTCTGCCTTCGGCTCAGGTCATGGTCCCGGGGTCCTGGGATCGAGCCCTGCATCGGGCTCCCTGCTCGGCGGGAAGCCTGCTTCTCCCTCTCCCACTCCCCCTGCTTGTGTCCCCTCTCTTGCGTTCTCTCTCTTTCTGTCAAATAAATAAATAAAATATTAAATAAATAAATAAAATAAAATCTTCAAAAAATTTTTAAAAAATAAATAAAAATAAAATAGAATATATATGCCTATAATAGAACATGTATACACACATATATTAAATATAATATATAATAGAATGTATAATCACATAAGTAAAATATATACACATATAATTAAACATATATAAACACATAAAAACATATACAGAGAGCAACTTCAAAGTTAATTTTGGAAATATTTAATTTTTCCATTGGAACACTAAAGGTTTTATGCCATCTAGGTGAAGCAACAAATAAGTACACTTGGGAATCTATTTTTGAATCTAGAGAGAACGTGGGCTTTGACATGTCTGTTTCCAGACAGTAAGAGAGAGCTCTCACCATTCACAGGCTGGACAGGTTTTTCATTTTTAACCTTTAGGAGATTAACTCACTGACTTGGGTTGGCTCCTTAGATTTACAAAGTGTCCTCATGTACTTATTTTTTAGGTCCACAATAAAAAATAAGTTTTCATAAATTTAAAAGAATTCATTCCTCATGGTCTTTTTAAGCACTCTATAAGGTTTTTTTTTGTTTTGTTTTGTTTTTAATTTAAGTAATCTCTACACCCAACATAGGGCTTGAACTCACCACGCTTATATCAAGAATTGCATGCTTGGGCAACCCTCTTGGGTCCCCTCCTCTTCAGGAGCTTTGTACTATTGCTCAATAAACTTTCCAAAAAAAAAGAATCGCATGTTCCACCAACTGAGCTGGCCAGGCACCCCAAGCACCTTATGAGTTTTTTAAAACTATACTTCGATTTTGTTTTCATTAGTCATAGATGCACATGGTTTCAGGTGTCAGAGACTTAATATGGAAAATGACAGGACCTGATCCACACCCCACCACAGTGTTGTGCACCCATTTTCATCTTTTCTGTATTTCTTCTGCTATGTATCTCCAAATTTGTAAACAACATACTTGTATTCCTACTTCCTGAATTTTTAGTTTAGGCATTAATCAAATTCCCACTGTGGAAGGTGAAAATGTAGTTCTCTTTCATTGACATACTCCACATGCCTCTCTCTCTCCCTTACACACACACACACACACACACACACACACGCACAGAGTATAGTCATTTGCCATTTTAGCTAGATCAATATCCAATTTTACATCAATATGACCAAGTAAACACTATCTGCAGCTGGAACATGTGGTATACTATGTTTATTTGTCCTTCACATACAGCTTTTTGTTTTTACTGGAGTTAAAAATCGCCTTTTTGTTTATTTGCTCAGTTTTCTCTGCATTTATCACTAACATATCCCTAAAATCTCCTCCAATTATCCAACCCTCCCCTTAGTACTTCCAAACATTCAGGTGTTTCACCTTCTTGGTGGCATCTTCCCAGAGCTTCTGTCCTACCGCCTTGCAGACTAGGAGTATACTGTCTTCCTGGGCCCTCTCTTCTCCTACTGTGGAATCCCACATCTCCCCCTCTGTTGGTTTACACCCTTTCCTTCCTGAGAAAAGGAGAGATAGTAGAAGATAGTTTTTGAGACTTTGCATGTCTGTAATATCTGTAGTCTGCACTCACTCTTCATTGAGAGTGGATGGGCACACAATTGAGGTAGGAAATAATTTTTATTCAGAAATGTGCAGGTCTACCTTCCAGAGTTCCTGTTGAGAAGTCAGATGTCAAACTGATTCTTGATCCTTTGAAATGCAATCTGGTCTTTCCTCTTGTAAGGCATGGAGGGTCTTTGCCTTGGCCTAGCACTCTGCAATCTCATGCCTTGTTATGAGGGATTTTCACTGCTGTGCTGCCCACTTGACAGGCTCTTTCAATCCGGAGATGCAAATCTTTCAATTCTGGGAAATGGTCTTTTTTTTTTTTTAAAGATTTTATTTATTTATTTGACAGAGAGAGACACAGTGAGAGAGGGAACACAAGCAGGGGGAGTGGGAGAGGGAGAAGCAGGCTTCCCGCGGAGCAGGGAGCCCAATGCGGGGCTCGATCCCAGGACCCTGGGATCATGACCTGAGCTGAAGGCAGACGCTTAATGACTGAGCCACCCAGGCACCCCTCAATTCTGGGAAATGGTCTTGAATTATTCTTTTTTCCTCCTGCTGGGGTTTTGTTACTAAGATGTTGGGCCTCCTGAACCTACTGCATGATTTTCTTATTTTCTCTAATTTTGCATCTCTTTTTCTCAATATTCTGGAAAATCGTCTCAATGTTATCTTTTATCCTTCTTTTGAAATTTTTATTTCTGCCATCACATTTTTAATTTCCAAGATCTTTATTGTTTTTGGATTGCTCTCTTTCTTTTTAAAAAAGATTTTATTTATTCATTTGAGAGAAAGAGAGAGCATATGAGCAAGGGAGGAGAGGCAGAGAGAGAGGCAGAGGGAGAAGCAGACTCTGCCGAGCAGGGAGTCCGATGCGGGGCTCGATCCCAGGACCCTGAGATCATGACCTGAGCCGAAGGCAGACGCTCAACCATCTGAGCCATCCAGGCACCCCTGGTTTGCTCTCTTTTGAGGTTCTGCTTCTGGCC